CGCGAACCGCGGTCGACTACGTGGGAGTCCAGCGACATAGCCATTACGCTAACTGCTGGTTCCCGCTAAGTTTAGTAATTTGACCTTAGTAGGTTATCAGTAACTATTAGATGGCTGCAATGTCACCTCCTCTAGACAGTGTGGATCACTCCTAAGTATACACTTCCCTATGGTAGATTGGCTTATGAATGTAATCTACCGTAGAATATGAACTCTCCGAGGGCCTCTCTCAGCTAGCTTTAAAAGAAATGATAATGCTTTGAAAATGTATAGTCTTATTAGAAAATAGCACATCCACTACATGTAAAATTGGTACAAAATAAGTAAATGAAAACTGGACCAAATGCTCAACGCTGCATGAATCAGGCAATCTGGGATATCAAAAATGATATAATGGTTCCCAGTCAAGTTGGCAGACTTAGTTAATGCTCCAGACTGCGTTTCCATCTTAGAGTCTTTTAATGCTTGCATGAGAACCGAGGTACTAGGGTTTAGTCATTTTAGGGACCTACAACTGGCTTGTCGCAAAAATAGAAATCCGGAAAAGGGCAGAACCATTGAATAACTCTACCTAACGGCCTAATGATAGGCCACAACTTTCTTTTGGGGTAGGGAATTGGAGGACTAGATTGGAGTTAGGTAGAAAAGCTGGATCAACACCATCAATAACACTTTTAAATTTTAAACATATTTTTATTTTACCTTTTTTTAACCTTAAAACAACAGGAAATTATTGTTACCCAGTTCAAGAGGCTACTAGGGGTGTAATTAAGTGGTCAACAGGGCTATGCTCTCACTTAAATTTGTAAGAGAGAATCTTTCCTTAAGTCTCTAGCCACTGGTGTTTGCAAGAAATCTTTAGTATTCCTTGACTAACAGATGTGTCACCCCAGTCTTGTCCTCTGTCACCACAGGGCTGTCTTCTCTCTGTGAGTGTCTGTGTCTAAAATATCCACTTTTCACCATATTGGGCATCAACCAGATTGGGTTAGAGTCCCCTATTCTTCAGTACGATCTTATTTTAACTAATTACACCTGCAAGAATTCTATGTTTAGGAAGGACAAATTCTAATATACTGCAGGGTTAGAACTTCAACATATGAATTTTGGAGGGACATGATTCAACCCTTAACAAAGAGAAAGACCAAGAACTTCAGTAATTTTGTAGGTTCTCCTATGCTTTCTTTTAGACTCTGAGACAACAGAAATTTTTTCAGCTGAGCCCCTGGGTATTCATCCCTCATTGGAGAACTCTATGGGAATCTATGGGTAAGAGTATCAGAAACTTACTTCTATTTCAGAAGCGAGTTGGTATATGGAACGTCTCAAAGGTAAAATGAACCAAAGGAGAGGTAGATAAACCCAGACCTAAGTTAAAAAGGATCTTTCTGCTCTGGATTTACTTCCCAGCACATCACAGAAAGCAATTCCTACTAAACCTGGGGAAACTGACTTTTCTCTCAACAGAATGTGATCTTTTCTTCTAGAGAATAATACGTGTTTTTATTAAATAAAAATAACCTCATGGCCCAGAATCTTTGCCGTACTATTCTCTGTATTTTTCTATAGCCTAAAAATGTTTCCAATACATAAAAAACAGAATTTAATGAAGAAAGTAAGATTTGAGCTCACTCTTGAAGGATAAATAGGATTTAGAAATGCAATGATAAGGAAAAATAGCTTATAATAGAAAGCACCTACTGTATAATTTATTTTTCATTTTCCTCTGGAAAATCTAGGAGATTTGAAAAAGTTAGTCCATTTGGCACCTCTGAGAAACAGAGGCATGCTTCCATTCAGTCAGTAGCCTGCTTTTAGCTGTGGAAGCTGCTGTTATGTCATTATATATGGAAGACTGTATTGGAGACTATCTATTCCTCTGGTGTTGCAAGACCAAGCTGGGTTCCTTGGCTTGGTTCCCTCAGACACTGTAAGGAACCACTGACTCCTGGTTTACCAGCAGTGTTTGTCAGACAGTGTGATCAGGAAGGCACTACCCCTGATCCCCAGGGGCAGGATTTGGAGCCAATGGTCTACGTTGGGAATCAAGTCAAGGGGGGGTTGTGTACACACTTGAGAACTCAATTCCCAGGGCTATGATTAACTTGAGGCTTGTAACTGTGGAAACAGATTAAAGTCTCAGAGTGAAATGGTAAATGGGAAGTGAAATGGGAACTCAAGATTAAAATCACTCAAAAAAGCAACTTTCAAGAAAGTAAGAGCTCTGCATTTGGAATAGATACTAGGCTTTTCAGCAGG